TTCCAAAACAAAATAATAGTGAAGACTGGCAACATTTTATAGCATTGCAAATATCTTTTAGAGATTGGTAGAGGACAGTTAGATCCTAATTTCTTTCTCTGCATTCAGTCTGTTGTGAAATGCTGTTTTGGTTGAAGTATATGAAGAAAATTTGGCCTCCCACAGATAGGTTGTTGGAAAACTGAGAGATACTGTAAGAGCCTTTTCAGATAAATGGGATAGTCTTCCTGATACTATACCAAAGCCCAAGTGGTGGTATTTTCTTGAAAGTTAGATGCAATGTAAAAATCAGACACTATATCAATGAACTTTCTATACTCAATTAAAACCCATTGATCTGTCTTGCTATTTGAATGAATCTTTTACCCATAAGTGGTTTTTTAATTTTATTTTTGTTTTGTTTTGTTTTTGAGACAGAGTCTCTCACTCTGTCACTCAGGCTGGAGTGCAGTGGTGTGATCTCGGCTCATTGCAACGTCTGCCTCCCGGGTTCAAGTGGTTCTCATGCTTCAGCCTCCCAAGTAGCTAGAATTACAGGCGTGCACCACCACACCCAGCCAATTTTTGTATTTTTATTTTTTTAGTAGAGATAGGTTTTCACCATGTTGGCCAGGCTGGTCTCAAACTCCTGGCCTCAAACAATCTGCCCACCTTGGCCCCCCAAAGTGCTGGGATTACAGGCATGAGCCACTGCTCCTGGCCCATAAGTGGTTTTATTTTTAAAAAATCATACATTGGTCATATCAAAAATGAATTGTGTGAGTCATGTTAATTTTCCAAATGTTCACACATTTCATCACACAATACATAAAAAAACATATGACTTAATATTGCCACTGATATCAAAAAAATCTTTAGGTATTAAGAAACTGTCCAGATTATGATGGTGATTGAAATCTCAAATTTTATTATTGGCAAAAAATATTGTCAGTTGTTTTTCTTGAAATAACAGACTCTCTCCATTTACTTTATAGAAAACATCTATGAAATACCTACATTTGTGTGTTGTTTTTCCAAGTAAAAATTATATTCCATTTTTTAAAAAGGCTTGTTTAGTTGGAAACTCAGTCAGACAAGTCCCTTCCCATGAGACAACCATTGTCCTTCCTCATGCTACCTAAGTGCTTTATGTAGTTACCATTTCATTGTATAGAATATTAAAAAGGTATGTGCCCAAGAATCAACATTTAATAAAATTAACACTTTCTATGGTTTCATCAAGGAAAGTATTCTGTGAAGTTGGCCATTTTTAAGCAGGAAGTACATGGCCACGAGAGATATAATGATTACTAGTACAGTTTGGCAACACTACCTTGGTTTGTGCAAAAGTACCAGCAGTCTTCCTCATCATTGCTTTTTCATCATTATTGATAATGTTAACATAGTGAGAAAAAAAAGCATATAATGTCTTGGCATTACTAGGAAAATCACCTTGCAGACTTCCAGGGGCATGTGGACTACGCTTTGAGAACCACTGTTCTAGTGAATCAATGATTCTGCTAGTAGTGAATCCACTACCAGCAAGGTAGTAGTCAGGAGGAGAGTGCTAGGGTATAGTCTTGGAGAAAATAGCATGAGAATATAATAAGCAGAGAACAGAACACGGTATAGGGGCTTGCATGCCAAACTGAGGAGTTGGGCTTTAATTCAAAGAATGGTGGGAAAGCATTGAAGTGTTTTACAAAGGAGAGTGACATGGTTTAAGAACACGTAGAATTGGCCGGGCGCAGTGACTCACGCCTGTAATCCCAGCACTTTGGGAGGCCGAGGCGGGTGGATCACGAGTTCAGGAGATCGAGACCACCCTGGCTAACACAGCAAAACCCCATCTCTACTAAAACTACAAAAAATTAGCCAGGCGTGGTGGTGGGAGCATGTAGTCCCAACTACTCAGGAGGCTGAGACAGGAGAATGGCGTGAACCCGGGAGGCGGAGCTTGCAGTGAGCAGAGATTGTGCCACTGCACTCCAGCCTGGGTGACAGAGCGAGACTCCCTAAAAAAAAAAAAAAGAAAGAAAGAACATGCAGAATCAGGGAATAAGAATGAGTTGTGGGGGTTAGCATAGAATCAGGAGAATGTTTCAGGCTTGCTGTGATATTTGAAGAGAGGAGGGTCCAGAATAGTATCTAGAATCTCAGTTTGCAGAGACAGGGATAGCTAGGAAAAGAGGAAGGCCGTAGGGAGAAAAGGTGAGAGACAGATGAGGAGGGCATTCCAGGTTGAGGGTACAAAATGGGTGAGGAAAGACAAAGAAGAGAAACTGTGGGTCCTTCTTGGAGGACACAGCAAGTATCTCTTTTGTCAATTACAATCTATACCCTGCCAACTCCAAAAACAAGGATTAGAGGTGGCTGTCTGAGTATGCACAACAGAGGAGTCCAAAAATAAAGTCACAGCTATTAGAAACGAAACTGCAGATTGTTCCATTTGGCTGGAGCTCAGATTAAAATACTAGCACAGCAACATATGAAATCACTAAATCTCCACACACCATCTTGGGTCTTATAAGGTTTAATAGTGAACTTTATCAGTAGCAATTATTTCCAGAGAAAAAGTTGAAAAAATCTGAATGCAGTCTGTGTACAGGTTATACGTGGCACTAATGTAACATTCACAAACTGTGACCATGAGCTTCACTGAAATTGATTTAGATAAGAACCTTATCGTGCCAGCATGAACAGGGAGAAGAGGTACAAGTGATTGGCAGTCACTTTTCAGGCTGCTGGGGGATGTGGAGGAATGTGGAGACTTTGACTGGTTGTTCTAACAATCGCCATTCAGGATCCAGAATAGCAGAGAGTAAAAACAGGACAAAGAGTGAAGGTGATCTAAAACTGGGAAATACAACAAACACAAGTGCACACCCTAATGTAAACTAGGATCTTTAGTTAATAATAATGTATCTGTATTGGCTCATCAACTGTAACAAATAGAGCACACTAATGCAAGATGTTAATGATGGGGGAAACTGTTGGAGGCAGGGGGATAGGGAGTATATGGGGACTCTGTACTTTCTGCTCAGTTTTTCTATAAACCTAAAACTGCTCTAAAAAATAAAGTGTATTAGTTAAAGAGACACACACATGTGCACATGGAGACCTTCTATAAAGGGATCCAAATACAGCAGCACATGATGCAGGCCTAAGCATGCCCAGGGAAGAACAGAAAATTCTATCACTCAAGCCTGTCCTGATATTCAGAAGCAGGAAAGAGTAAAAAGCCATCAGCATTTCTGAGTTTCATCATCTCATGTCTTATGGCAATATGAGCTGACTGAATTGTACTGAGGTTTCAGACTTTTCTGCACCAGCAGATGAGTTCTGGCTTATTAAAATGATATTTATCATTGGCTCACTTCTCCCGCTGTTGTTTTATATTATTGATAATTTAAAGGCATCAGTGATTTAATGACTCTCGCTCCATTTGACAGAGAAATAGCTTTGGTTCCTTTTGGAAGCAGTGGAGAGGTTGAACTTCCCTCAGGTTGACTGACACCGCTGGTCCTATCAATGGACAAACAGTGTATATTTCATGTATTGGTAAACATGTGGGGATGCTTCATGGAATATTACTGCAATCACTTTGGAGATAGCTCCTTTTCCCCCTTATAACATTTGGTTGCAAGAAATGTCGAGATCATTGCCCCTGTGGTTAGTTAACAATTGTTCAAATTTCATTTTTTAGTAAGTCGATTTTTTTTAGTAACTCCGCTGATGCATTTTAAAGTTATTAATGCCATTTAAAAGCCTTTCTGCATTTTCCCTTCACTTTCTTTACTTGGCAAAATCTTGTTTGTCTATCAAAATACTACTTCAGATCACTTCTCTCTGATGGCTCCTTCCAGCCCCTGAATGATACCTCTTTAGTCTGAACTCCCTCATCCCTGACTCTTGGTATTTATTATATGATTGATACATGGCATGAACTTTAATGTCTATCTTGCATCAGCCTTACCCATGAAGCTTGCAGAAAATATTGATACCTGTACACCCACCACAGACCCACTCACTCAGAATGGCTGGGAATAGAAACCCAGGTATGTACAAGCTTAGAAACTTCACGAGCATTTCTGACATATGCCAAAGTTAAGAGCCATTGCAAGAAACACCTGCTGAATGAACTGAACTATGGTATATTTTTATAAAGGATTAAAGGTATTTCCTATTCTCTTTAGTATGAGTTAAATATTCTGCAACTTCATGTGAAATAGAAACTAGATTTTTCTTTTTCAGAAAGAACATTTACTTTTTTTTTTTTTTTTTGAGATGGAATCTTGCTCTGTCACCCAATGGCATGATCTCAGCTCACTGCAACCTCCACCTGCTGGGTTCAAGCAATTCCGTCTCAGCCTCTCAAGTAGCTGGGATTACAGGCACATGCCACCATGCCTGGCTAATGTTTGTATTTTTAGTAGAGACGGGATTTTGCCATATTGGCCAGTCTGGTCTCGGACTCCTGACCTCAGGTGATCCACCCACCTTGGCCTCCCAAAGTGCTGGGATTATAATAACCTCTTTTGCTTTCTTGCCAAATGTCTTTGGAGCTGGTGCTTTTGGGGCTGGAGTGTTTTGACCCTTCTGAGAGTCCAAAGGAAGCACTGCCTTCTGGCCTTTGGTTTTCTGGGAAGGAACCTTCTGGGTTGCAGCCTTCTTGCGCTCAGCGGTCATCTTTTTTTTCTGTAACTTTAGCAGCAGCACTCTTAATAGCAGGTGCTTTTTTGGGAGATGTTTTCAGGACAGCTGCCTTTGAAGCTTCTTAATTTCGTTCTTGATTATTCTGTTCCCCATTTTGCCTTCATGACTTTAAAATGATCAAAATCTGCCATCTTGGCTTTCCCTTCTCTGGCTTCAATCTCCTTTGCCCGTCATATGGCTGCCCATTTTGTGTTGTCTGTCTTCTGCCAGGCTTGTGGGACATAATTCTCGTGGGTACTGTGTGGAAACTTGAGGATGAAATCAGTGAGCTGCACGCATTTGAAAGGCATAGCCTGTCTCCTTACTTGAGTGCAAGGTCTTTCGACCAAAGCCCCATTCTGATCAATAACATCTACAGTTGTGACCAATTTTCCAACATAAGGTCCAAAGAAGATGTAGGTTACCTGACCAACCTCCACGAAGCTCCTCAACACAATGTCAGTGGCATTCAGTGAGAAGGAAACTAGATTTTTCAATGCAGTTTTAGAAGACTAAACTAGGGGACAGTAGATGGTACAGTGAAGCAGATTCAGGGGTAACATAAAGATAAAATTCTGTTATTTTGAACACTTTAAAAATGAGTTAGGTTGCCATTTGATGCAGTTTCTTGTCATTGAGAGTATTTGCTTGTTTGGAAAGGATTCATCATTGAACTCAGGGCTAGTGGCTACCGCAGCCCCTTGCACATAGAATTTATGGTACTTTATTTCATAGGGTTTTTTTTTTTTTCTTTTCTTCCAGGCTGGTCTCAAACTCCTGGGCTCGGGCAATGCTCCCGCCTTGGCCCCCCAAAATGCTGGGATTACAGGCGTGAGCCACTGTGCCTGGCCCCAGAGGTATTTTCCAAATAGAAAAATGATCCAAAACTTGAAAATACAGACTGGGCAACATAGCGAAATCCCATACCTCAAAACTGTTTCAAAAAATTAGCCAGGCATAGTGGTGCATGACTGTGGTCCCAGCTACTTTGGAGGCTGAGATGGGAGGATTGCTTGAGCCCTGCAGCTTGAAGTTGCAGTGACCTATGATGGCACCACTGCACTCCAGCCTGGGTAACAGGCCCATCTCAAAAAAAATTAAAATTATAAATTAAACTTGAAAATAAAAATAAAAGATGAACGTGTCACCTAGTTTGTGATGGAGGACATTGTGTAAAAAGTTTGGAGAATGAGGTCCTCTCATTCTCCAGAAAAACTCTAAGTTTGTTTGACTTACTTTTTGTCTACTGATTAGGTCCAGACTCTATGAAGCTAGAAGTTAACTTGCAGAATACTGAAAAGTTGCAAATGATTTCTGTCTAGTGGAAAAAAGATGAGCCCCCAAATTATAGTATTACTGATCTAATGAACATTAACCAATTTTGAATATAACTCAGCAAACTTATTTTTGCATTCCTTTGCTGGTTGCCTATATAAATCTCTCATCATTTATTGCTCTTTGAACCAGCTTTTCCATCTTGCTAGTTCCTTCATTAACGAGTTAAATAAATCTTTGATAATGGTTCATTAGATATTTATATGAGTTATGTTTTTAACTTTGTGAAAAATATACTTTGACAATATATAAAGGACTTATCATAGGGCTTGGCAATCAAGTGCTATCCAATAAGTGTTAGTCATTATCCATATCTTAGGACTCGTACATTTATATTTTAAAAAGATACTATTAGGGCTGATGGTATTAGGATATAATTTGCTTCATTATCTGTGATTCTCGCTGCTAATATGAATGAGATCTACTGAGATAAGCAACCAAACTTGTGTTGCAGGAGGTGTATGTTTCTGGGGTAAGAGGACAAGTACCACTATATTCACATAAAACATAACTGGGAGGCTCATCCTAGGGCAGACTCCACAATCTCTCTCAGGAATGTTTGCTCTCCTGAAGGCTTACAGCAGAGAAAGCCACCAGCCCTTTTGCAGCTAAGTTGGCTGCTGCCAAATATAAGAGCAGTGAATCTACTAGCAGGAACAACTTGAGGCTCTGTCAGAATGCATACTCCATGGATACACTCCCATTTAGAAATACAAAAGTCACTCTTACACAAACCTCCTTTCAAAGAATAAGTGGATTTGAAGTTGGGTGCAAAGCCCAGAGAAGAGTAGATATGCTGAATCAGTCTCCTGGGCCTCTGACACATCAGCAGAGAAGGGACAATGACACACGTGACTCCCAGCATGGGCAGCCAAGAATCCATGAGCAGAAATGGACAGAGGAGCAATGTGGGACAAGTCTTCTGAAAAGAGCAAGTTCAGTTTTGTCGGGAGGGACCGAAGGGCTAGAGAGAAAACTAATCCTGGGAGTGAGAACACACCCATGATTGTGAGTGGGGGGCAGATGGCAACTGAGGTGATCTGAGATGCCCCACAGAAGCCAGTACTCAAAGCCAAGCAGACGGCAAGATGGTAGGGGAGACACAAAAGCTGCACATTCCAAGTCTTTGCACCTCAAAGACTACTTTTTGGAAGCTTGTCTCTTTGATTATGAAAAAAAATAAAATAAATAAAGGACCAGAGCAGACCTTACAGCCTTCACTTCACTAAAATTCTTCATTTGTATTTGGTCCCCAGAGTCCTCACAATTTGACTGAGACTTCTGAGTTCTAAGAAGCTTCTAGAAAAAGCTAAACATCAATTTCTAGTCACTTATTTCCTAATGTCTCCCTTTACCCATACTCAGTTGACATCTGCACTACTGAGAGATCTGGATTTTTGGTGAAGGTTTAGAAGGACAGAGTCATCATTCTGGAATGTTGGTTAAAAATATATGGGGAAAGGAGAAGATATCCAAAGGTGGGAGACAGAAAAGAAATACCATAGGGGGAAAAAAAGACATTTCCCCCTCCTGGTAATTTTTGTACAAGGTGGTCATTAATGAAGCCTCTCTAAAGTTTAACATCAGGACTTACTGTTCAAATTTAAGAAGCCCTAATCCATCCATCCATCCATCCATCCATCCATCCATCCATCCATCCATCCATCCATCCACTCATGCATCCATCCACCCACCTGTTCAACCACTTATTAAGCATCACTATGTGCCAAGCACTGTTCTAAGCATTGAAAAGTCAGTGATAATTTAAAAGGCAAACAATCTTGCCCTTTTGGAGCTACCATTCTAGTTGATGATAATGAGGTCCAATGGATGATATGGGTTCATGCCCAGCACTTTACTTAATGTGTCATTAAAAGAGGTAAATTTGGACTCACAGGTTTTCATGAAGACACCAAGGGGCAAAATGGCTTCAAAAAAGAATGCAAGCAGAAAAAAATAGGGAGAGATAAATTCTATACATTAAAATTTGGCCATGAAGGATGGTCACATTTCTTTCTCTAAGAGGATGTACAGCATTTAAAGAGCAGAAATATTAGATTACATGGGGGCTAAACCTTGGATCAGAGGAAAGCAGCCTTGAAAATTATCTTTGGTGCATAAGCATGGGATTTTAGGAGTTTTGCATATAGTCTAGTTTTGTTTTTGTTTTTTTTTTGGTTGTTTTTTGTTTTTGTTTTTGTTTCTGTTTGAGATGGAGTCTTGCTCTGTTGCATAGGCTGGAGTGAAGTGGCCCCATCTCATCTCACTGCAACCTCTGCCTCCTGGGTTCAAGCAATTCTCCTGCCTTAGACTCTCAAGTAGCTGGGATTACAGGTGCCTGCCACCATGCCTGGCTAATTTTTGTATTTTTAGTAGAGATGGGGTTTTGCCATGTTGGCTAGGCTGGTGTCAAATTCCTGACCTCAGGTTATCCACCTGCCTCAGCCTCACGAAGTGCTGGGATTACAGGCTTGAGCCATTGCATCTGGCCTAGTCTAGCACTTTTTAATATAGCATCTTACATTCCTCCAGAAGATTGCTATGGTTCCAGAAAGAAAACAAACACTAAAAATGTGTGGCTTTCCTTGCACAAAGGTGACCTAAGTGATCGGCCTGAGACCTGGGCAAGCAATGTCAGTGATGTGTGTTCTCTCTGTTTCCCAGGAAAAGGCAAACTCTAGTTTCAAGCATAGGTGGGAATGGTGTACCTCAACTTTTTTTTTTGAACCACTAAGAACTACTATTGTTTCCTTCTACAGACCCAAGTTCTGAAAGACAACTTCCTAAAACTCTGTATTTATCAAGTAATGGTAAACCAAGACTATTTCTTATTTTTATTACTCTGAGCCTCAGGTTAGCAGTACCTCTACACTGAACTGATATAATTCCGGTTTGATGTGTTAGTGGTCCTGGGAAAATTGAAAGACAGCAAATATATATCGGGGCTCCTGGGGTCTGGAGCAAGACAACCATGTGGCACTTGAATTCCAGCTCAGCACTTATTGGTTGTGAGAGCTTAGGCAATTTTCTTAACCTATTAGACACGATTATAAAGTTAGAGGAGGCAAGTTAAAAAAGATATATGTGCAAGGCTATTTGTTAAAGTATTACTTGTAATAGCAAATGTCTATTGCTGGGGACTGGTTAAGTAACAATTGTGTCTCCACACAATCAAGTACTATACAAGTATAAAAGGAGTGGAGAATAGCTTTAGATACTGATATGGAATGAACTCCATTGGATATTGTTAATTTAAAAATATGAGGTGGAGAAATACATGTATAGCATAGTACTATTTATCTAAGAGAGAAGAAGAGAAATACACACAAGTGCATACATGTGTGAATGCACACATGCACACTTACATTATAAAACATTACAAACCAAAGCTGAAAATGAAATGATGTCTAGACCTCTGAATACCATTTCCTATGAAACTTAACCAGGGTTCCTTGGAGAAATGGCTGATTTCCTGTCTTAAGCATGAAATGTACATGATGACCCTTATCTTACCAGAAATTAAGGAAGCTCTCAAAGACTGCTGGGATTCTATTTAAAAAGGACATAGGAACCAATTAAAGGAGGCTCTCTCTGGCCATAGATGGTTTGAGAATGTATAAAAATAATGGCTACATAGTATGTGATGTCAAATTATTTAAATCATAACATTACTCATAAAACCAAATATATAAATGATCACCTTCCAAGGATGTTAAGGTACCAACCCATTGTTTTGATAACGTAAGTATCAAGCTTTTTGTGTGTGTTTGTGCATGCCATATGAATTGCATCTCAGACTAACTAAATAATTCATGAGAAAAACCTTCACTTTATAGGCTTTTTCCAGCTAATACATGAAAAATAGAATGATACTCTTCACCCTGTTGCAACTTCCAATGAAATAATGGATGTAGACAATTGTCACTGATGGATATTAAAAGAAAGAGAACTAGTTATTATGTGTCTACTGATGGAGGTACAAATACTGCCGCTGAAGTATTCCTGTAGAAGAATCAAATATTAATGTGATAATCACTGGATCCTGTTACCAATTTATGGGGGAACAGAGAGAACTATGTTAAATAATATCAAGGGGTGTAACCAGCAAAATCCAGACTGTGGGAAACTCTCCAAGAAAAATGATCTAGT